TTTGGCAGACAAGAACTTAAAAAAACATTGTAGATGGAATTTATCACATCTGTGAACATTTAACAGCCAACTTTTTCACATTTATTATCCCTTAAATGTGTCTTATTCCAATCAATTTACAAAAATGTTTATCCTTAAGGCATAATACAAAAGCTTGGTTAGTCAGGCATAACAAATTTCCAACCTTGCCATCCAATCTGTGGTGCAGATTAACTGTCGCATGGCAACAGATAGCTGTTGGATCGCTTGGCATTCTGCCTTTCGTAGGTCACATCCATGAAGGCATTCAGATGCACAAATGTCTGGCAAATCACGAAGGATGAAAGGTAAAATTGCCAGAAGAATAACCTAGAAAAATTGACGAAAAACATGCAGAAATAAAGGTATTTGAATAAAAAATGAAGTGTTCATAAATAAAATGTTTTTAAAATGAAAACTGGTATACCGATAGTTAATTTAAAAAAAGGGGAAATTTTCGGATATGTATTTAGCAGGAAGATTATTTGTAATCATTCGAATATTTTAAAAAATCATTCAAACTTATAGATTAAAATAGCTCAATGTAAATTAACACAGAGTATGACTCAGTTTTCTTTGCAAATTATACCTTAGCTAGACGATAACTAGTGATTCCAATAATATTAATTCTAATAAAACTGGGTTGACCTCGTTGTTGCAACTTGGTCTTGTTGTGAGGGTGAATTAGTAGAACGCACCTAATCAGAAGTCGTCTACCATAGTAGTTGACATGTTTCCCAGCCTCAGACAGTGGACGTAGTACTTTCTCAAACGTTTCGCCGGCATCGTAGTCGGCATTATCAGTGCGTTTTGCCATTCTCCGCACTAAGCTACGAACACGTCAAAGAGACAAATGAAGTCAATCCCTCGACAAATGTTCTGCCAAAAACAATTACACTATTACTCTTCAAAGTGTCCGGGCCTATCTATCTACTCTTTACCCTCTTATCCAACTGCCGCCCTATCATAACTCCTCACATGTTTACATTCCACTCATCAAAATGTATGTCCTTTTTTGGCAAATCTAATGTGGCCTCATCACACTTACTATACACCCCGACCCCCTCTCTTTCTATCAGTTGATCTGACTCGGGCCTCCAATCTGGATCCCCTCATTGTTTCGTAGATCCCATCCATATCTTCCTGGTTGACCGATTTAACTCCAGGCGCTATTTCTCAAGGCCGTAACAGCACGTACATGGCCGTTTCACTAAGCAGAGCGCCTAAGCTCTTATTCCTATGCTTGAAGATATCTGGCCTTCCCTTCAAGATTCCTCTCATTGATTAAACCCATGTTATCTGAGTAAACTGTGGTCTCATATCTCAGGTCGCATGCGGCATTTTAAGTGGATTTCTATTACATTTTAGCCATAACGCCGAATTTCCGTGACAGTTTGCTTATCCGTCTGCCCAGCTCCCTGACTGCCAGGCCCCCAAAGTTGTACTGGTTTATTCGAAACGGACATCACTCACAGGCAACGTCTTCGCTTTATTGCTAAAAACCCCTGCCCCATTTTATTTATCGCGATCCCTTTTCGTCCGGTTAGCAGTAGATCCTTGATACAGGCTTCTCCTTTTTGCTGGTCTTGCTCTATTCTTGTTTTCTTTGAGTTTGCCTGGGCAGTAGGCAAAGTTATTGCTAACTCTACCTTCCTCCTATCTCCTGTTCATTAGATCTTTCTCTCCAAGTATGTAAATGGCCTTCCTTATCTTCCGCTTCCTCGTGTTGTCACCGTATGGGGCTCTTCTTTTTGTTGCCTTCAGTTGATTTCGTGTCCAGTCTGTGTGATGTGATCCGCTAGTTCAGAACTTTCGATACCCATTTTCCAACAGAACCTTCGAAGTTCCTTGATCCGTGTGATAATTTTTCTCCCTATTTTCGCGCTTTGCTGAGTTATGCGGCAGTGAAAGTACTTGTAGGGCCTTGAGAAATAGCGCCTGGAGTGAAATGCACACTGGGACTGGAACCGAGTAAAATCGGTCAACC